TGAATTAGCTGTTGATTAATAATTTGCCTGATATAAAAAACAGGTTTTCAAATATGCTGTGAAATGCCAGAATAACTTCACTCAAAATAAATAACTTCATTCAAAGCTCCCATTGAAGAGACAGTTTCTAAGTTGAAGATTAGCTGGTTTATGACTTTTTGCAGCTGTTGTTTAGCTTACAGTACATGCAGCCTGGCGTTTTTCTCTCCTCCGAAGCAGGGCAGGCCGTGTCAGCAGCGCTCTTCCGTGCTCGGGCGCTGCCGGCTTGCGCGCGTAGCCAAGCGGTGTTGGTGCCTGGCTTGTCCGCGTGCTCTGGGCGCCACGAGGATCGAGCCGGACCCCGGCCGGGCCCCGTGGCAGGAGCCGACCCGCGTAGCGGTTCCCCCGCGGCCGCTGCTGCTGCTGGACGCTCGGTGCTGGCTGCGTTGAAGCCCCTCGTGCCCCACACACAAACCGTGAACGCGGGCCGAGTGCTTTTTAGCCTTGTGAACTGCAGAGTGGTTGTGAACTTGCCAGAGCAAGGAGAGGCAGACAACAGGTTTTTCTAGGTGGTTTATCTTGTTATCATTTTCTTTGTTTGAGCATCTAACCCGAAAAAAAAGAAAGGGAAAGCCGCTTCCTCTCCCCTCCCTTTTTTTGATTACAATGAGGGACAGGTAAGGAAACCATAAATATGTGTTTTTAATTGCAAACTATGTGAGAGAGAGTTTACTTTTAAATGCTTATTGGAAGAAAAATTTGGATTAAAGCACTTGACTGAAATCTTATAAATCGTCTTTTTTTTTTTTTTTAAAGTGAGTATCATGTTCCTTGTCAGAGGATGTGTGGGTTGCTTTCAGATTGCTGTTAGTGTGGTGCAAGAGGGACTGAAAGTTCCCCAGGAATACCTTTCTATATCATGTCTGACACTTTGCTTATTCTTGCAAATTGATATAAAACCTCTAGGACTGAGTCAGCATTCTTAAATATAATCAAGGCCTCCTAAGAGGGGTTCTTCAGAAAAGTTCCAAATGATTTTTGACGCTTTGGTGCATTAATGAAGAAACTCAACATGGTAACTGAACGTGTACAGCCTTTCATGTGTGTTGCACGGCAGACACTGAGCTTTGGATGTCTTTCATGGCCACTGCTTTCATTTCAGACTTAGCAGGTTTCTTGTTTGCACAAACCCAGTATTAGTAACTGTATCTGAGATACTGATGGGCTTGATGGACAAATGTGCCTGGGTTCTCCCAGGAAGAATGGAGGCAAGTGGCAGAAACTTATCTTCTGGAAGAAAAGAAGAAAGGAAAGCCTGGTAAAGAGCTGAATGATGTAATAAACACTAATTTCACATCTGGCATCTTGTCTAGGTGTAGCAGTAAGTTGGTGCAGGTGGTTCCTGTGGCCTGGGATTGCTGTGCCGCATCCAGCCACAGGTGTAGCAACCGTGGGTGCAGCTGGAGCCGAGGTTCGGCAGCCCCCTGCACCTTTGCAGTCTTTTAGGGGAAAAAAAAAAAGAACAGCAGTTTTCCCCTTCTTGCCTGTTACTGATGTGAATGCTTTGGGCAGGAGGTGATTAGATGCGCTAAGTCCGACTGCTTTTGGTAAAGCTTTATCTTTTAATATTAACACTGTCTAAAGCTTCAGATAGGATTCTGCTTTTCAGTGGCTTGAACCTTAGTGCTTTAAGCGTTGAGAACCGTATTGGCTGTCAGTGCATTCAGGGCACGTTTGACTGCCCTTTTGTAAGCAGCGAGTGTCACCGAATCTCTGTGGTAAAATCTGAGATTGCCGATGTCAGATAAGCTGCACATGGGTAGGTCGTGAATGTCCTGCTGAGCAGCCTTGTGTCTGCCAGGAGCAGGAGGAAGGGAAGAGGTTGAAGGGAAAGGCAGCTTCTGTGAGCTGGCTGCTTATGCAGCTGTTTCTCTTTGGAGCCTTTCCAGGCAACAGCCACTACTGATCCACAAAATGTGTTGTTTCATCACATTTTGTGGCTATCTTGCATTGCATCACGTGGAGCTCTATCAGAAATAAGCGCTTGCCCAGATCCACAGAGGACGTGACCCCATGAAGTTACTCGCCTTCATCCTCGCTGGGTCTCTGCTGCCTTTGGTGTCACGCTTGGTGGCCTCTGCCATGGCAAGCCCCAAATCCCTGATGCTGCATTGGCCTATAGGAGGGTGCCCGAGCAAACGGAGGCGGTGCCTCTGCCGTGGGAAGGCACCTGGCCTGGGGTCGGCAGAGCCCCCCCGCCACGGGAGCGGGGCGGCCATGCGGAGACATCCTCTGCACCCATCTGCAGTGGCAAAAACCCTTCCTGTAGGCTTAGGCTGCCCAACGGGGGCTTGCAGGCAGTGGCATGTAAGGTAAAGGGAGTTGCTGAGTGGCTTGAGCTGGTGGACGTGCAGTTCCCTGGCAGAGCAGGCACGGTGCGGTGTCCTCCGGAGAGGTGTCCGTGTCCTGTCAGCTCCTGCTGTGCCAGGGCCTAAGGGTCATTTTCTTTCCCCTTCTGAAATAACTGAAAGGTGGAAATGAGAAAACCTTGACCTTGTGGCATTGACTATCTTTTCCAGAACATTGTTGGGAGCAAGTTGTCACTGAACAATGTTTTGCTTTCCAGGATTCACTTGGTGACTGGGCACCAGGGACAAGAGAAGAGCGAGGGAGCTCAGGTCTGGGCACTGAGGCACCCCGGGGCTGCCCTGCCCTCGGCTGTGCCGGGCAGTGCAGTCTGGTGGGTTCCCCATGGGATGGTGGATTCCATGGAGCACGGCAATGCCGAGAGCCCTGCGTTTGTTGGGGGAATGAGGAGATTCCTCCATTTAGTTATTGAGCAAGTGAGGCTTTTGTGACCGCGTAGGTTGTGCTGGTGCGTGTGCTCTGCAAACATGTGTTGTGCGGGGCTTTCCCCGAGTGGGGCACGGGTGCCTGCTGGCTGCAAAGGGCACCGTGAGGCTGGCAGGACGATGAGAGCCCCTGCTCCATCTGTGGCCCTGGCTGCTCGCCGCATCCCCTCTGCTATGTGTAACACTTGATGCTGTCGTGACGCTTCTCCGGGCTTCGTTGCCCAAAGCAGCCTCTTCCCTTGGACTCCCAATCGGACAGGGACAGTGCAGGATCTCCTCTTCAGCCCAGCTCAGCAGCTGTTGCTTTGATTAGCTCGTGGACCCTGCAAAGTGTAGCTAGCCTTTGCCTTTTTGGGCAGCGGTTTGGCACCGTTGAGGCGGCGGAGCTGTGAATGGCGAGGGGGCTGTCGGGAACCGCCGGGATTTGCCTGGCGCCGCTTGCGAGCCTGGCGGCACCGGCCCTGCCGGGCTCACGCCTGCCCTGTCCTGCCCTGTGCTGCGCTGCAGGAAACGGATCCAAAGGCAGCCCCGGGGAGCCAAACGCGTTGGGTAACGAGAGGTGACATAGAGAGCTATTTGGGCGCTTCCTAGAACAGCGGGGAGAGTCTCTCTGTGCTCCAGTGCGTGCAGAGCTGGGGAGGGAGGGCAGCGGGTGCCAGGAGAGCCCTCTGCATCCCTCCTTAACAAAGGTAGGAACCGAGGCGCAGGCAGAATCGCTTCTGCAACTGCTCCATGCCAGCTTTGACCCCAGCAGTTTCAAACGGGATGAGGACGTGCCAAGAGCAAGCTCTGCATCAGCGGGAAGTGTCTTCAATAAATCAAAGAACAAACGGTTCCCAGACGTAGATAAATATGTTTATGGAAGGTAACCATGGATGATAGCAAATATACAGCCATTTTTCACTGGGTCTCTAGGCAATTGGGAAGATATTTTGTCAATGGTGAGAGGAGCTGAGGGAGGGCTGAATCCTCCTTAAATGTTACCCTGATGTGTTGCAAGTCCCTCCCGGTGCTCTGCAATGCTCTCTGGGTGGGTTTTATTACTTGGCAAGATCCCCTATGACTAAATCTCAAAAGACTGCTTTTTTAAAAAAATGTTGCCTTTATTTATATGTAATACAGTTTGAGTTTGTTAGTGCAAGAGGAGAGGGGGGGAAAAAATGGCCATGTAGGGCCTTTATTTGTAAAAGGTTTTTAACCACTTGCTAAACACTACTGGATAGAAAGCTGTGTAGCTGTGGAGACAGCCCCTTCCTTGTCCGAACACGCGGTTCCCATGTTAATCATAACAAGTATGTGCAGAAAAGAGCTGACCCGGGCCCTGCCAGTAATCCTGCTCTGCAGCCGGGACAGCGTCTGCACCCTGCTTTCTGCCCGTGTTTTTTCCTGGTATTGAGCAGGCAAGGAGGAGCATTTTTCTATGAATTATCTCCTTTTATGAGGAAAAGTGGAAGACAGGGCTAAAGGGACAAGTTAGCTTTAAATTATTTAGTATCTTTAGTCAAGAAAACATTTTAAACAGCATCACATCACAAGAGCTTTTCTTTCAGTGACTATGTCACTGCTTTATTTGAGCTCTTTACGCTATTAAGTTGAGAACAGTTTGCAGTTTTGTGATGGTTTGATAAAACTCCTCTTTGCTTTTTAGTCTGTGAAAACTTATAGCTTTACACCAGTCAATGGTCTGTGCTCTTATATTCAGGATATGCCCTAGTTTAAAGAAGAAAGTAAGTAGTAATGTAGGAGTAATAGCTTATCGTTGATTTGTCTAACAAGCCTAGCAAATGTGCCCCAGTTTCCTTTTTCAAAAAAAAAAGTCACTTATTTCATTTCCCTTTCCTGTTGTGCTTGTTGTAACCCTATTTAAGCAGTTTTGAAAAGCCAAACTGGAACCATCCAGGTAGAGAGACTAAAAAAAGTGCTTCATCTTTTGCTGTTTTTCTTTTTACATCATGTTTTTAGCAGATACATTTATGTTTATGTGCAACATAGGTTGTCCTGTTATAGAACACGGGCAGCAAACAAAATTCAAATGTCTGTGGATACGTTTATTGATTTGTAATAGTTAACCTGTCAGTAGCACAAGCCCAGCGGTGTATCAAGTTATATTGATAGAAGTGTGTGGGAATCACTTCTGAGCTCTATATGAAAATCTCTTTTCTCTGGTAGTGTTTAATTATAGGTGGTGGCCCGTGTGGTTTGCGGACTGCCATAGAGCTTGCCCTGCTCGGAGCCAAAGTGGTGGTGGTGGAAAAGCGGGACACCTTCTCCCGGAACAATGTGCTGCATCTCTGGCCCTTTACGATCCACGACCTCCGGGGACTGGGAGCAAAGAAGTTCTATGGGAAGTTCTGTGCGGGATCTATTGATCACATCAGTAAGTATGTGGGGGGCATGGGCACCGCTCCGTCAAGAGGAGCGGAGTCATCAGGAGATTAGTGGAGATTACTTGGCTTTCACAGGAAGTCCTTTTACCTTGCTCGAAATACACCCAAAAAAAAAAAAAAAAAAAAAGGTCTGCATCATTTAAGCCAAATAGCATTTGGACAAATGCCACATAGTCTTACAGAACAGCAAGTGGTGTTTAGAAACATGCCTTTTCTTAGCTTTTTTGTTAAATCTGGACTTAAAAAAAAAAAAAAGTCATCCTTTTAATGAGAAGATATGCAAAAGCGTGATAATATGGAAGGAAAGAATTTTCGCACCCTGGAAGGATTCTCTATCCTAAATGACCAAGATGTAGGGCATGCAGTTCGTTTAAATATTGTTAAAAGGGAAAGCTCCAGAAGTGCCTTCTAAGAATATTACTGGAGTAAATTTTATCCCCTAGGAGATTATGCACAGCAAAATCCTGCACATAATGTGTTGGTTGCTAGGTTTTCTTTCTTTGCCCTAGAGCAAACAACACTATCTGTCTTTGTTAACACTGGGTATCAGCTGGTAACAACTGTGCTTGCTTGTGTATTAAATATGCCTTTGTTACTATCCACAGGTATTCGACAGCTTCAACTTATCCTCTTCAAAGTTGCACTAATGCTAGGAGTTGAAATCCACGTGAACCTAGAATTTGTAAAAGTTGTGGAGCCTCCTGAAGATCAAGAAAACCAAAGTACTGTTTGTTGTAATGTGAAAAAGAGCTTAAATGGGGGAAAAAAATCTCTTAAAGGCCTCTCTATACGTACACAATATAACCAATTTTTATAGCAGGTTTTTATGAAACCACTCAAGTGGTTGAGTTATGCTCAAAAAAGAGACCTATGTATAGCCTGCTATATCATAGGCACGATAAGTATCACTGTGACAGTGCACTGATAATACTTAAGAAAAAATATATACTTTTCAGGTTGGCCTGAGAAGTGAGGCCTTGTGTTCTTCCTTCTGGCATGTTTGAGGTGCTCTAGGGAGGCTGGTGTGGTTTCTTGGTGTCTTCTTGCAAAAACATTTTTTTATTGATAATATAAATATTAAGGATAGATTTAAGTGTTCTATTCCTTGTTTTGCTTTTGTGCTTGATAAAACTCCCACTGGCACATGGAGTCTTATTAACTATCTTTTGCAAGATTACTATAAAATAGATAAAGACTTCATTTCTGATTTTTTTTCAAGATTAGATTTGGGGAATAGTAGTAAATAGAATAGTCTGAGTTTTTACTTTAAAATAGTATGTTATTGTTAAATGTTCATGTAGTAACAGTAGAATAATAATCTATAAGTAGTTAAAGGATAAGTATAATTTTAAATATGAGCAATGCAGACATTTTCAAATTATCTATTTGGTCTTGATGCAAGAAATAAATTTAGCCTTATAGGCACATTTCTTTTTAATTTTTGTTTAGAAGATGGACTTCAAAAGTACTGACAGTGGAATACAATTGTTTTCTTTCATAAACCTCCCTCCTCTTTCCTTGTTGTAAATGCATGCACTGTCCTGTTAAGATCCTTTTGGGACTATTTATGTAAAAATGAAATGTTTAAGTATATTCTTGTGATATGGGTCTTAGAGGAAATGCAGCACACAGTGATTCAAAGGAAGGCTTCTCTTCTGTCGGCTTATGAGCTTAACGCCTCGCTAATGCCGTCTGCCTGTTGCTTTGACTGCAGCCTCTATCTGAGGTAGAATTCAGCTCAGTTTGAATGAAGAATTGACCATTTACACCAGTGCCTTTTCTTCAAAGTCTGATTGCACTGCTTTGTTGTAACTCTGAAGAGTAAATAAGTAAATTTTATCATCTCTCTGTTTTTAGAGATCGGCTGGAGGGCGGAATTTCTGCCAGTGGATCACCCGCTGTCAGAGTTTGAATTTGATGTTATCATCGGTGCAGATGGCCGCAGGAACACACTAGAAGGTAGGTGGAGGTGTACTTTGAGCCTTAATGATGGTCTTTTTAGGGCAATTTGGAAGGCCTGAAAGCCGGGGGAGAATAAAAACGCAAAAAAAAAAAAAATGCTTTTCACTCAGAAATATAGGTGAAAACTATTTTTTTGTGATGTCTCCCACTTTTGTTGCTGAAAAACTGATTCTCAGCACCCTTTACTGCCTCCAAAAGGCATTGTGGTACCATTAGGCTTGCTTCAAGGTTAAGTAATAACACGAGGATTTGACTTGAAGGGGACCGGCAAGAGACATGTCAGGAACTGCATGTTCTCTGCTGCTCTGTCACGGCTGTACGTCTGAAAAGGGGACTGCCAGGTACTTACTGAGGTAGCACTCCTTTGAATGATGCTGGTTACTTTCAGAAGCAGTTACTTAAATAACAATCCCAAAAGACACTAAGGGGAGAAAAACCCTGCTTCATTGATGGGGTTTGTCGTGGAGGTGTCTGGCAACTTGAGCTGCTTGGTGGGCTGGTGGCCAATGCCACTCCTGTGTTGCAGGAACAAGCTACCGCTTAGTTGTATGTTCTCCCTTAAGCTTTATTTCTATCCATGTTATTTTCATTTCACTAAATACCCAATTTCCCATTTTATTAGCTTCATTTGTGTCTTCATGTTCTTTTGTCTGCTGAACACAATATGCTTGGCATTAATTTCTTATAATGCTCTCACCAGAAAATATTCCTTGCTGTTGTCAAACTGCTTAAGTAGCCAGGCATCAATTAAAGCAAAATGAGTCATTCCTTAGCTGCAGACTCTGCTGAGATGATTATTGTAATATTAGGGTCTAAGGGGATTTTGGTGGATTGAGGATTGTTTGCATACAGAGGATGGCATTGTCGTGTCAAACTTATCCCAATGAAATAGTGAAGCTGAGAGTCACCTCGCTAGCCAGAGCGCTTCCAGAAACAGAGAAAAATTCATAATTCATTTGGTTTATAGAAATCTATGTATTCCCTGACAAGTAGGTTAAAAAAAACTCTAAGGAGAGACAGGAGTCTGTCTGTCTGTCTTCCCCTTTTACTGAAGTGTAGGGGGAATGCAGAGACGTGTTATAAGTATGTGATTGCTGGACTGTTGCTTGGCATGCTCTTTTGTGGCAGGGGGCAAACAAGGAAGCTAGGAAGGCCCAAGAGAGCAAGCAATCGAACATGCCAGGCTGTGTTAGTCTCGCTCTGCACGTGCAACAGTTAACTCACAGAACGTTTTTTCAGACTCTCAAGGTCTCTGAAAAACATCATGAGCTGAGAGTGTATGGTGTATAACTTCATATTCTTTATATTTTTTCTGCTGCTTTTGACTGTTGGGTTTTTTTGCGTATTTTTTCCAGAAACCTTTTAGTACTAATATACCAAAAATCTCTAATTTGTTAGACAATGTGTTTAAAAATATGTGCTTCCATTAGCTTTCATCTGCACTGTTTCCTATTTTTTTCTCCTCAGTCATCGCTTGTCCTTAGTTGCTCCTTAAGTTCAGGTAGTTCCCCTCCAGGTATCCTTTTATTTATTTTCAGGTGAGACTTTATCTTGAGTGGGGTACGTTTCTACTTGGCAGCTGGGAGGGAGACCACAAAGCCTCTTCGCACAGGGGCAAGCTGTACAGAAAAGAAGGAGTCTGTGATTGTGGCTGGCGAAGTTGGGCTTGGGAGAGAGACTGCATTGCATTCGGCAGACTCTCCTGAGAGCTGGCCATGAAACACTTCCCGTATTTTTAATTCTGTCTGTACTTTACTTACCAGGTTTTAGAAGGAAGGAGTTTCGTGGAAAGCTGGCTATAGCTATCACTGCCAATTTTATAAACAGAAATACAACCGCTGAGGCAAAGGTAGAAGAAATCAGTGGTGTTGCTTTCATCTTCAATCAGAAGTTCTTCCAGGATCTAAAAGAGGAAACGGGTAGGTAGATCTCACTTTTTCCACGACCAAACCAGAGACCAACTCTTTTCTGCCAAGCCACTCTCCCATTCCTATTAACCTCAATTTAAATCATTTTTTTAAGTGCTAAAATACTGCTGATTTCAGAATTGATATATTGAACACTGCCACATCATAGCTTGTTTTAATTTTTATATCTTTCTGAAATGTAAAAGTGCTTTATATATATAACAACTTTAGAAGGACATTTTTGGTGCCCAGATATTTGGTTTCTTTTGCTTGTGTCTGTTCACATACAGACACATATTGGATGGCTTAAACCATATAAAAAAAAGCTTTGTCCTTCTGGGAGGAGTTTATTCTTGCTTTTTGATGTGTGGATTTGATAAAACTGAAAAGAAATGGACATGAATTTGCCACATTAAAATGTAAGCAGTGAATTAAGTCTATGAAAAGGGGTTTCAGTTGCATCCATTGTAAGTACAGGCAATTCCCTTCTTTGTTTACAGCAGATGTTTTGCTACAGAAACAGCAGAATTCCTGGTTAGACCCAATGCTGGAGTTTTATCAACTTAAACATTTTTCCACCAGCTCCCCTTTTCTACTTGTAGGAAGATTGCTAAGGCTGTAGTTTGACTGTTCCTTAGTAGGATGCTACATAATTTTACATTATTAAATATCCTCACTATTAAATTAGGATAGGGCCAGTCACCTGTTTTATTTGTCTTGTCATTTGTCTTGTAGCATTTTGTCTGTTAACTTTGTCTTAGCTAGGGAAAGTGAATATATCTCATCTAGCCCAAGAGAGGGAAAGACGTGTGTGGATCAATCAGATATTGTTAGTAAATGTCATTGGAAGTGCTCCATACATCTTGAGAAATGTATTATCTTCTTTTTAGGAATTGACCTGGAGAACATTGTTTACTACAAAGATAGCACTCACTATTTCGTGATGACAGCAAAAAAGCAGAGCCTTTTGGACAAAGGAGTGATAATTAATGTAGGTAAAAATGCTGGACAAAAACTTATTTTATTTACTTGGCACCAAGTAAGTGTGAATATCTACATAAAAGTCTAGTTCTATGTTACAGAAGGCCTTTATAGACATGCTAGGTCACTTTGTTTAAGCTCAGATCACTTGGATCTTACCCTTACTTCCCTCCAATGCCTCCAAACAGCACAAAATTCCTGATGGGAGCTGCAAATGATACTTCCGAAACTTGTCAGTTCTGAAATTGTCTGAAATTGTGTGTTGTTGTTATCACATCACAAAAAAAAAAACTCATTTAAAGGTTGACCTAGCACATCTAGGTCCTTTTTCATCAAGCAAATAAGGAAGTATTAAAATCTCCCCCGGGGTATAATTCTGAATTCTCCAAAGTGGGTGAAACGTAATAGGAGGAGGTTATAAACACAGTGGCATAAATTTTTAAAAGTACTCAGGAATTTGAGACCTTTTGCAAGTCATTCATTTCTTTTTCATCTTTAATATGTGGGAGTTTTTTCATTTCTAGAAAGTATTCTGGCACTGTTTAAATTTCTTTCCCTGAAGACCTAGATAAGTCTTTTTCCTTGAAAGTGCCAAGACAGCAGAGGACAGCTTCCCAGGGGAAGTGCTTGTGGTGAGCTGTCGGGAAGCTCCTTGGCCTGGAGTGCCGGCCCCGATGCCGAGCCTTCTCAGGGTGCCCAGGGAGGAGCTGGGACGCAGTGGGCACAGACCCTCTCCCACTGCAGGGACGTCCCCTCACCCGCTTGGGTGTCAGTGCACAGGTCGACCTGTCTAAAGGCAACTGAGCTAATAGCAGTTCTCGTGGCCTCATCCCTGCGATCATCTGTGATTAAGCCTTAAATAGAAACTGCTGTATTAATAATCTTGGGGCTTAAGTTGGGTGACCCGTCGAGGAAATGTGCTTCACCATGCTGGGGAGGAAAGGCAACCCGAAGCAGAGCACCAGCAGAGCTTCTGTGGTCCGAGCTTGTGTGTTGATGCGGAGACGCTGAGTTGGATCTGCAGGCTGAGCTGTGTGTGTTGATGGGCGCGTGCCTGTGGCTCTGCTCCCACAAGGCTGCAGAAGCACCGTGTGCTGCAGTGATAATGATAATATCTCTTGATGGGAGGGAAGTCAAGCGATGAAAATAACATGTAGCCAGGCTGTTGTTACCCTCTGTTGCAAGTCAGGCTGTTAGGCTAATGTCCATGTAGATCGTTCTGGTTTGGGGTGGCATAATAAGCTGTGTTTACGTGTCAGCAGCTTTCCCGGGGAGACAGCAAATCCCCCTTGGGTCTTCGTGCCGTGGGCTGTGTTGGCTGAGCTGCTGCTACGCTGCTGCTGTGCAGGACTCACCCTGCACGTTCCTATCCTTGCAGGACTGTGTTGACACAGAGTTGCTCCTGTGTGCGGAAAACGTGAACCAGAGCAATTTATTGTCCTACGCCAGAGAAGCTGCTGACTTTGCAACGAATTACCAGCTGCCTTCCTTGGATTATGCAATTAATCACTATGGGCAACCAGATGTAGCAATGTTTGATTTTACTTCCATGTATGCATCTGAAAACGCGGCACTGGTGAGAGAGAGGCACCGACACCAGCTCCTGGTGGCGCTTGTTGGAGATAGTTTGCTTGAGGTATATCTAGGAAAATCTTTCAAATAGCTCATTTTTAATCCAGCCATTCTATCTACCCTCTAAAACCAAACTTGGTCTTTAATTGCATATCGTGAAACAATGGCACCTTCATTAAAATGGATTTTTTTATGCCCTACTTCGTGTCAGTAAGTAATGCTTGGCTGACCGTCTCTGGCTGAGTTCTGTTTTGCTTTATGCAGGTTGTATTTCTGTCTGAAAACTGAGCTGTGTGTCCTCAGCCTGGGTGCCTGGCATAGCTCTCTTGACTTTAATCAGAGAGAAAAACTTTGTCCAGGTTTTCGTTCCAGTCTTTCTGCCTTAATATGTCCTCTTTGTGGAAAGTGTGTGTTACAGCTAATATACTTTATTTGTGTTGACAACCTAAAGTGTTTGAAAAGACCAGTAAAAATCAAAGTTAAAAACACAGTCATTTCCCCTCTACACACAGTGGTTTTTCTGAACTCAGCTGATTTCAGAGTACTTTACTTTTTGAAACCTAGATACACTTCTAATGTAGAAGCTCAAAAAAACAAACTTAAAGGCACATTTTTTTCTTCATTGCATAAGACTTGGAGAAAGCCCTCTAAACATTGCAAGAGTTGGCAATGTTGTATTTTAACTTTTTCTGGGCAACTTTTCCAAGTTGCTGTGGAATGTTCAACTCCAAATTCACATTGCAAATCACTTTAGTAATAAATTCTGAAGAAATAGCAAGTAATTAAAATGTAAATACTGCTTACAGCCATTCTGGCCGATGGGCACTGGCTGCGCGAGAGGCTTCCTTGCTGCCTTCGACACCGCGTGGATGGTGAGGAGCTGGGCTCAAGGGAAACCTGCGCTAGAAATTCTGGCTGAACGGTGAGTGCTGCTTGGTTTTCCCCTTCGTTTTTAGTGTTTCCAGAAGTTGCACTGCTGGTAGCAGGTGGTGTAAGATGCCAATAGCAGAAATACTCTGCTCCTCTGTGATGCTGTAGGTTGGATTTAGCCCTTGCTGTAGGATACTGAACAACTTCTGATAATGCCAACTTGCCTGTTGCTCTCTAAGCCCTGGTGCTTACATGGAGATGCAGCCACATGCACAGCATGGGTTTGAATCACTAGTGATAGCGCTAGCTGTGAGCATCAAGGAAAAACATCAAGATACCTTGTATCTAAAGACTAATCCTCCCATCTTCTCTGCACTTTACATTTATTTAAAAAAAAAAACATGTTTTCACTAAAAAGTGCAAACAAATATCTTAAGAATGACAGCTGATTTTAACACTGATGCGACTTTAACGCTATTTCGGCTTACGAGCCCCGGCACGCTAAACGCGTGGCGGAGCGGAATTGCCGTCATGCCGAATCACGGCTTCCCACGTGCCGCGTGTCCCCGACGAGGGCGCAGCAGCGCTGCTGGGGCAGTGCCGGGGGACCGCAGCTGCTGGCCTCGGCTTGAGGCAGCCGCCCCGCTCCACGCGGCTGCCCCGGCTGCTTTAGGGCCAGCGTGCGGCAGGAGCAGGCACGGCTGCGGTGACGTGAGCAGAGCGCTGCTAAACACGGGGCTCTGAGGAGCCTTCAGACAGCAGCTTGTGGGATGACTCAAGCGCAGTGCAGTCCCAAGTGGAAAATTGAACAGCATCATAAAAAAGGCCGTAGTGGTTATGGGAACTGCAGATTGACGGGATTTAGTGCTCTTATGTGGTAAAGGAGTCCTTGGGTGGAGGTTAAAGCAAAACCAGATGACTTTGCATGATGTAATCTGTCTCTCACTCTCTCGCTCCTTTTTTTTTTTCCCCCCTCTCCTTACTCACTTCCTGCCTCAGGAAAATGTGGGCATCACTTAAATGCCTTTATTATCCGTTTTGTATCTAGCATCATCCTTCTGCTGAGTGAGATGCAATATGCATTTAGTGCATGATACTTGTCCTGGTAGAATAAAAATAAAGTGACAGGCGAATATTAATAAATTTAATAAATAGTAAATAATCTTTACCTAAACAATATGTCATAATTGATATCTCTTGCCTGTTTTCTTTTTCTCTGCTAGAGAGAGCATTTATCGACTCTTGCCCCAAACTACCCCTGAAAACATTACCAAGAACTTTGAGCAGTATACCATTGACCCGGGAACGAGATACCCTAACTTGAACTCGAGCTGCGTTCGACCTCACCAGGTTGGTACTTAAGAGGCTTGCCTGGGAAATGACCGTGCCTGTTGCTGTTCTGTTTGCTCTTGTCCAGGACAAACATGACCACGGGTGGAAGTACTGTATGAACAAAATCATCAGGGGCCTTGTTGGTTTAGATCCAATTGTTCATAAAGTCAGCCTAGAAAGACTTTTATTTTTCTGCAATTTTATTATGGTGCAAATTGCTCTTCTTTGTAGGTGAGGCACTTATACGTTACTAATGAGTTGCAACAATGTCCTCTTGAAAGAGTAAGCTCCATCAGAAGATCAGTGAATCTATCCAGGCAAGGTATGTGATGTCTTGTGCTTGCTGCCGCTTAATGTTGGGAACTTTTTGAGCACACACAACCTGACTGAAGCGTTTGCTTTCTGCCTAACTGCAGAGTCGGATACGCGACCTAACAAGCTTTTGACGTGGTGTCAGAAGCAGACGGAAGGGTACCGCAATGTGAATGTCACGGACCTCACCGCCTCCTGGAAGAGTGGTCTGGCGCTGTGCGCCATCATCCATCGCTTCAGGCCTGACCTCATGTAAGGGCTGGGTGCTGCAGACCTTGTTTACAGGGTGTGCTCTCTTTTTGCAAGGGGGTGCACCCTGTTGCCAGCATAGGTGGGCCCTGAGGCGGGAAGGCGCTAGCAGGGAGAGCAGCCTTGCACGAGATGTGTGCAGGATTGTGCAATGCCTTTTATGTCAATTGGTTGAGGGGCCTGTTGGGTGAGCTCTGTGCTGGAGAGGCCCCTCTGCCAGCCTCCATGCCGCAGTGGATGGACCAGCCACCTCCAGGTTTGGGAATCATGGAGGAATTGCTGTCAGCCTCGTCTTGCTATAGATATTCCTTTCGCTAGCAAAAGGAATATAATTGAGTTTTTTTTATAGGGCATCATAGGTTGGAAAAACACAGGGCTGACACCCTAGACACTTGTTTGTGCAGCACTGCCTGAGGAAGGAATAAGATACTTTTTCCTTCAAGTTAGTTTTTAAGAAATGGGAATTATGGATTATTTGGTGACTGTAAGAAGAGAGTGGGGAGAAAGCAAAGCAATCCCTGCTGTGTGTGGAAAGCATTTTCTCTTGAGCCAGCTCTTTTTAGAGTTGAGAGAGATTTATGTTCCCGAGCTAACAGACCTCCTGCAGTTTTCCTAGTATTGTGTTCGTATTTTTGGCTGCATGTATTGGATGGGACAGGTGAAGGACGCAGCCGGTTGAAGCTTCGCTGGTCCCAGCACGTTGAGCAGGGCTGAGCGCAGGCTGGGGCAGCGGGCAGCACCCCCTCCAGGCTGCCCCTTCAAACATCCTCTCGGGATTTGGGAATGCTGCTACTGAAGGGAGCCTGGCACTTAAATGAGGGGTAAGGGTGAAGGGAATAAATTCTTTGGGGTTCATGAGATCATGCCCCTTTTGAGAAGGGAACTGCCCTGTCCAGAGCTTAGTTACTTAGTTATTTGTTTACATGTTTATTTTAATCGCACCTTTTGGAAGTTGTTCAAGGGAGTGAACTCGAGAATAAGTCCCATAGAAAGTGGATGAGATAATGTGGTCACGGGTGGGTGATATGTGTGCTTAGGTGCAGTTAAACCCAGCCATGGACAGACAGGAGCACCTTGTTTAAGGCACAGATGTAACAGTGTAAAGAGGCCATAGGGCATGTGCATAGCGCTCTTGTTTCCTGAACTGCTGACCTGCATGTGCTCTTGGTGGCCCTGATGGCTTTTCAGAGCAAACCCCACTGATGCCCCCTCCTTGTCCCCGTAGCGACTTTGACTCCCTGAACGAGGAGGACGTCGTCCGAAACAACCAGCTGGCGTTCGACGTGGCCGAGCGGGAGTTCGGGATCCCGCCGGTGACCACGGGCCAGGAGGTGGGCTCCGCCGCCGAGCCCGACAAGCTCAGCATGGTCATGTACCTCTCCAAGTTCTACGAGCTGTTCCGGGGGGCACCGCTGCGCGCCGTGGGTAAGGCGAGCTCCGCCTCGGTGGGGCTGGGGGAAACCCAGGCCTGCAGAGACCAGGCTTTGGGGGGCTGTCTGCATGTGCAAGCTAAGCAGTCTCTTTGGAACAGATGCTGGGGACAAGCAGAATGGAGAGAGCCATGACCCTTGTTCTGCAAAATCATCCAACTTGATCTTCAATAATTACCTCAATTTAACGTTACCAAGAAAACGAGTACCAAAGGTGAGTTGAAAGGGAAGGGCTGTCGTGGCTGTCGTATAAACCTTACTCTTTTTAAAAGACAGAAAAAAAGCTTTCAGGCTTAAAAGGAAATATTTTATTGATTTGAATCTTAAAAGTCCCATAGAAAGCTCTTCGTGAGTATATTAAAAATACAGCAAGATTCCCCAGTAAACAACGCTTTATAGGCACCCGCTTGCAATCACTGTAGCTTTTGTAATACTAAACCTGAAACTTTTTTGCTCTCTAGTCAGTGAAACATGAATAACAGTCCCAATTTAGCATTCGTTGTAAATGAAAAATCCCTAATCCCAGTGAGAATTTGGGTTTAGTTGGGCAGCATTTGCATTCATTGTCCATGTCAATCTTTCTTAATGTAAATACATGTAAGGACAGGTGTTTCATTTAGTTTATTTATAAGTTATATTTTTTATCTTGAAGCATTAAAGAGCTTGGCTCCAACACTCGTATTTTCTTTTATCTTTTCTTTGTGGAAACTTTCCAGCAGGTGTTTTGAGGAGGCTTTGCACAATGCTAGACATTGTTTTAGAGATTTTTCAAGAAGATGTGGGAAAGAGGAATTCTTCTAAGCATGGTTATTGCTGTCTTTAAGAAAAATAGTACTATGGTTTTATATTTCTTGAGTTAAATCTTTAGCCAAGATATATATCCTTTCAAATAGTTACTGGAGCTCTAGAAGGCTTATTGTTGGGGGTGGGGAGGAGGGCAGGAAGTGTGATGGCTTTTTTATTTTTATTTAACTAAAGCAGAATTTTTGACAGTTTGTGGATGTTTTTGGCACTCTGGTAATAGATAGCCTGTTTTTAATTGGAGCCCTCCAGACCCTCTTGGATGTAGAACCCCTGCAGCTGCCTATTCATTGACTTGGCCAGAAAAGCAGCCTTGAAGGGGCTTTGCTTTGCAGTGATGCCTCCCCTTGTTTTGACTTCATTTTAAGTGGGGAGTGTCTGTAAAAACCGGCTCAATGTTGGCAGCACCAACCCAGCTGCTGTGGTTTGGCCAACACAGGCCAGACAGCAGCTTGTGCTTGGCCACCAAAATTAATTTGTGAACTTTTGTGTTCTCTGAAAAATAAAATAATCTAAAGCTGTTTAATGGCCGATTTTCCTGTGCTACCCTGAAACTACATGATGATTCCAAAGTGCCCCCGCTTTTTTTTTTCTTTTTTTTCTTTTTCTTTTTCTTTTTTTTTTTTTGGACAGACCTTTATACTTAACTTTACTGCTTCCTTGTGCCGTATTTGCCAATGCAAACAATTGCAAAAGTACAGATTTCCCACTCCTTTTTAACTTCAGTGTCCTTAATAAAAAATTGGGAGTATGTCTATGCACTACACTTTTCACTGTTTTAATATATTGCTTTTTAAATTTCCTTCTATCTTCTAAGTTTTTGGTGTGTGTGCGTGTTTATATAATATATATATATATATAAAATGAGGAACTTAGATATATAGATCATATATATGTATTTTTTTAGTCCCCTCCAAAATGACTCTAGAATGTCCAGTTTTTTTCACAGACTGGCTTATGTCTTGAATAATTTCCTTTCATAAACACATTTTCAAATCCTGTGGAGTCAGTTGCCCAGTAACCTTAGAGGCCCTTGTTAGGAAATAACTTTTCCCTGCCACCCACATTTGCACAAACCAAAGGGACAGGTTTCCCAGCTAACCAAGCAGTGGGAAACCAAGTAGTCAAAGTAAACATTGTTTTCTCTTGTGCTGACTCTCAGAAGAACTTTTTTTTCCTTTTAATTACTTCAGTGTTGTTTTCCCCGGGTTATTCACAGAAGTAAAGAGGCTTCTGGAGTGTTAGTGAGGAGAGCCTCTGCCTTGCAAAGTCACGCAGCTCTGGCAGGAGGGCCCGTGCTCTTGCCTGGCGCTTTGCCGGGCAATTACCTGGCTTTGCCTTTCCCTTCTGTGTGATCCAGGTAATTAAAGCCCTCTGTGTGAGGCTTTGAAAGGCAGCATCTCTGCTTCATTGAGTCTGTCAACCTCTGCTTTTATGTGGTAGGGGGTATCACGCAGAATGTGTTGTACTGTTACGTTGCCTGTTTGTGCTCAGTGGCCTCTATTACGTTGCCTGTTTGTGCTCAGTGGCCTCATGATTACAGGTAGTGCTGAGCTGGGTCGGGGAGAGCTGCTGCTGCTGCTTGGAAGGCCACGTTCCAAAGCCTGCCAAGCGATCAGCGTATCGGCCTCTGGTTCCTTTGGTATATGCCCAGAAGTTGTTTGGGACTACTTCCATTCATTACATAATGATTTAATAAAGAGTGAACATATAAAGATATAAAATGGAAAGCTGTATTCTTTGATTTCTTTTTACTTTAAGCTGGCTGAGAAATCACTGAGTTGCAGCATGAGCAAATGCAAATGACTGGAGTGTTGTTTTACTATTCAGAAATATAACCTATCATGACATATACCAGGCCAAAAGGCTCTCCAAGTCATAACTACATATTTCATATAGTATATATATGTTGTTTAGTGTAAATTGTGCCAACTCTTTAAAATTGAATGTAGTAAGACATGAGACAACTTTAAGTATTGACTGTTTCAAAAATTTGTGCAGAATGAGTGCTGTATGATGTCTCCTTCCTTAAAATAATTAAGGAACATTGAGCACAAAATGCATTGCTTGAGCACAAAATGGAATTTATATGCTTAAGTGCTATGTAAAGCCATAGTCAGGGAGATGAATATGCTTTAGGAAACAAACCTGTCAGGAAGACAATGACTGTTCTGATTCAGGAGATCCTTCTCCATGATGGATGGGCATGCAGATACTTAGGCAGAAAGAAACAGGGAGGCTAGAGTGTGAGAGTGATGACTGAGTGATTTTTGTTGTTATTGGGGTTGATGGTGGTTGTTATATAGGGCCAGGAGGGCTGCTCCGGGAGGGAGCACCCTGGCCCTGGCCCATGGCTTCTGCCTGGGTTACTCAGTGCTTGGCCAGGCCATGTTCCCCTGCTCGTGAGAGGCGCTGATGTGGAGGGATGTGGCTGGTCAGTAATCCGCGTGCTTTGCTTTCAGGTTGAGAGGAAAGCAGAAGAAAATGAGACTAACAAAAGACGTCGGAAAGGGCTTTTTGGGGCCTTTGAGGAGGTGGGTATCTGGTAGTGCTGTTGTAGCCCTGGCTCCTTGCTGAGTGTCAAGGCCTGGCCTCGTGTGTGTGTGTGTGTATGTGTGGCAAGGGAAGGGGGTGTACGGAATATCTGCCTTGTTAAAATTCTGACTTTTTTTTACCGTGGTGTATGCCAAAATAGAACTGAATTACCTTCAACTAGTTGGTGGGGAAGAGGTTGTTACCCAAATGGCTCTATTTTTTTTTTTTGTTTGTTCCTTTTTCCTACTCAGTCATTTAAAGAAGATTTTGTTTAAAGAGTTTTGAAAAGGTTTGCATTGCTGCTTGGTTTCTGCTCCCTCTCCCTGAGTTACTGGTGATAAACTGGGGAGTTACCAAGTACCAATTTGCATTCCCTTTCTCACTGTGCTCTAGGAACAAAGCAAATAAATTATAGTGACTCTTGCATGCTGAAGTGTCATATTTAAATAAGAAATTGTAGACTTCATTTCCTTTCCTTTTTTGTTGGTAAGGACATTATTATCTCTCTATGTCTTCATCAGTGTTGTTTACAAACATGAGCAAAATAGTCTCTTGTTTCCTTACAGGCTTCAGGTTTTTCAAGCCAAGGGTTGAATTCTGGGAAAGAACCAAGTGACGGTAGAGAAGGTGCCAACCAGAATAAAGTTAAATCAATGGCAACCCAGCTCTTGGCAAAGTTTGAAGAAAATGCTTCAAGTACAATTTTTCGGAGACAGGTGGGTTATAAATGAAAATGTCATCTTTGAAGTTAAGCTGGAGTCTCTCCTTGTGAACATGAAGATTTTGGAGGGGAAAAATGGATTTGTAATGTGTCTGAAATAGTGTGGAGTGTTTTTCTCCTATGCTTTATACAAGTGAAATGTATTCCTCTCAGTGCTTAGAAAACAAATATGACCAGTCAGAATATAGATTGCTCATCTAGTAACCTATCTTGGTAAGCAACTTGTTTCTGTCTTCTGAGAAGGATCTTGGAAGTCTTTTTTACTGTCATCTTGTTCTTTTCTTTTCTCTCTCCTCCACTCTGTCTTTGTAACTTGAAAAATGGTTTACAAGGAGCTAGTGGGTAGTCCAGCCCCGCTATCTTCTCCTGGCCTTCCTGTTAATCCTCACTTTGCTAAACCTAAGGATCCAAGTCTTCTTCCACCACAACCAAAAAGGCAGGTAGGAATTCATCAGGGTTGCGCCTGATTTCTGTTTCTGTAACTGCTGGAAACTCCATGTTGTTGCTTAACTACAAAATGCATAAAGTTATATGTAATTTGCATGCTTAACACCTCTATTTAGTAGAGTGTTGTGAAAATTGTACTGAAGCTTGAGGTCCTTTGTGCTTCCCTAACTAGATGAGATGATGATCTGGAAGAATTAGTAACTGCATGTAGCGTGCACAAAAAAGTTTGGATTTCTGTGTCGTTCGTTGTACCTAATCTCAAACTGTAGGAACATTGTAGTTTATCTGCATTTTGTATCCAAGAAAATCACTGCAGTACATGAGAAGAGCCCATGCATGTACTCAGCACTTAGAGCTGTTGTAATGATAAAGCGAAGGGAATTTTCAACCCAAGAAAACTAACAAAGATGCATAAGATAGACTTGAGCGATCAAAAGCTGGGATTTATGTACAGTTTTTCTATATTTTAAAGTGGAATTTGTAGAGAAATTCTCTGCTGGAAACTGTTTCCAGCGCCACATATACAGGGTAAACTTCTCTAGTAACTTAGAAATATTGAGAGAAATTAAGAATGAAAACAGTCTCATAGCAAGTCATATTGGTATTCACTTTGCATTTTAATTTCGAAAGGAAATGAATACAGTATAGTGAAATATTAAGAATAATCTGTAGCAAAATGAGGTTTGAAGTAAACATGGAGGTCTGCAGACTGCCTTAAAAATCCATTATCTGGTGATCAACTACTGAAGGAAGATGGATTACATAATATCAGCAGCATGCTATATGTTAATTTACAGAATATTTTTAATTTTTTAATAATTTGGAAAGCCTATGTATTTACTTGAGATGGCCAATTGCAATGAAGTAAAAATTTATGAATTTCCAGCTGGTCTTTTCATTTAACTGAATTTGACAAAGCTGAAATGAGCCAGTTATTTCATATGCTAGTGCAAATTCAGAGCCTTACTCCATAATTGCTCAGAAATTGCTTTACATCTGAATTATTTTACAGCTTGACTAAGGGCAGAGTAGGCTACTGTTGATGTTTTTAAAGTTTGATTTGTTAAAGGCAGACTGTGACGATATAATTTACTAAAAGTCCTAGAAAGAGAGATGATATGTTCTTTTCCCCAATGCAATTGTTTTCATAATAATGGAGAGAAAGATGTAGAAGGATGTCAAGACCCATGAGTGGTGCAGCACTAACGCAGTTCGGTGCATGGACACAGGCATGGGATGCACAACAGGCAGCGTAACACAGAGTGCCAGAAGGTTCCCTTTCTTGCTGTGTGCATGGCTGTGCTTTAACCAACACCCTTACAAGCTACATGTGCTGCATGATGGTGCAAAACGCAGCCTTTTTCACTTCACTTCCACTTCAATGCAGCCTTCACTTTCCCAGTTTCAGGTGGTAGCTAAGCCTGAAGGTGAGGTCAGGGAACCCAAACAGTCTTTCAGCAGTCCTGAGCAAATGGCCAGGAGAGCAAAGACTATAGGAAAAGCAGAAATCCAGCGCAGTCTTTCAGAAAACTGCGAAACTCTCACGTCTGCCTGTTCTGCTGCCTTTGTACTTTCTGGAGTGCTTGAGCGTCTTCAGCACCTGGAGGAAAAAATGAAACAGGTGACAAGCAATTTCTTCTTTCTGCCTCTTAAGTGCGTTTATTAGCCTTTATGCTGTATTTTCCCTGAATGTGCTGGCTTTTTCTCTTCTGACTTAAGATTTTTTTCTGATTAATACAACTGTGTCTATCTACATTCTTGTTGTGTTCTGACAATGTATGTGACTTAACTAAACTGTCTTCTCTTTTTCTTTTCTTGCTTTTCCTTTCCTGGCTCTCACTGCAGAAAAGGGCTCAGACCATAGCAAATAGGGAATTCCATAAAAAGAACATTAAAGAGAAGGCAGCACATCTTGCTTCAATGTTTGGATGCATGGAATTTCCAAAGGTGAATATTAGGTTTTGCAGCTCCAGAAATGCTAGTTAGACTATACGTATATGTGAGTGAGTGTGTGTGTGTGTATATGTACACAGACTATATATATGTGCATGTGTGGTTATTTATGTAACATATATTTATACATACAAAAATTTGAAGGGAGTGGGGAGAGTTGTTTGCTTTTAAATCTCTTTTCATTCTGAGTGGATCTGAAAAGTAGTTCAGATTCCAGTGCAACTGGTAGCATTTTGTTTAAATACCATTGTGAAATTGAATTAATCACAATCATCAAGATAGCATAAGAAAAATGTGGTACATGAAATCATATTTTGTGCTTACACATACACACACTGGGAGCTCACAGAATTTCCAGTGTATTGGGGAGCAGTAGCTCGCCATCAAGTACAATTCAGTGTTTGGAGTTTTGCTGTATTCTTCCCAGGAATTATTTTTGATGAGAGAACCAGTATGACCATTGTTTGCTGCAAATATTTTGCTAGGCTCCTCACTCTGCAGGAATACAGAGCAGAACTGGGCAGATGCTATCTTCTTAACTTTTTTCTGTGCATAAGTGTAAAAATATCTTCCTAATCTCTGCTAATGTCCTTCTCTCCTGGCTACTCTTCTCTTTCTGCTCTACACAGAATAAGCTACCTAGTAAAGGCTTATGCCACTCTCAGCCCCCAGCTCCCCCTTGCCCTCCTCCTCCTCATGGCTCATCTGCTGCCTCTTCTCCATCACCTGTCAGTCCAGCTCCCCGCACTGCTCCTTCCAAACAGGTACTCTTAGTCATGGGTTACTCCTGTAAAACCCAAATTGGTGCTAATGCTTCTTGAGGGATGGCTTGCTGCTGCCTTTATGCAGAGGGGTTGTTGCATAGTCTATATTTTGTGTAAGAGTGAGAGGTTGCTCTGTTCCCTACTGTTACTTCTGCATGTTTGTAAGTGGAAAATCATCATTAAAATAATTTAGATAGACAGCTGATTTGCAGAGCAAGTATCTTTCAGGAGCTGAGCAAAAATCCTGTTAATTTTGCATCGCTGCCATTTTTTAATATTTGTTTTTAGAGACTACCTCAGACGCACTGGAGGAAGAAATGCTTAGCACTGGATAGCAAACTGGATCATATAGGGTTGGTTGGTTGGACTTGGGCAGTATTTATCTTGGTTTTCCTAGGAATATCAGCCTAGCATGAAGGGAAGCAACCAGATGATGATTATTTTAAACAGAGGAGGCATGTTAGGGTTGTGGGAGTGGGGAGAGGGGAAGGAACTGTTCTTGATTGAGATATATAAGGAAAACATCAGTTATTTTCAGGCTTTTCTGCCCTGTGGTAGGGAGTTGGGCTTGCAGCCTCAGCAGTGGTCACGCAGGTAGATGTGGAGCTGCCTGGAGTCAGGAGTGGCTGGTGGGAAAGCCTCTCGTTCCCCAGGAAAACACCAGCCCCAAAGCCCTTGGAGGGCACCGCGAGCCCGGCAGATGCTGTGGTAACCCCCCAATCCTCTGCAATTTTTGCCTGAATTTATCTATCACTTTTTGTCACTGAGGAGGTATTGCCTATGTCAGGCTTTAGGTTTACAGAATGATTTACAAAATATTAGACATATTGTTCACTCACTTAGACTTTTGTCTTTTTTAGCATTTCACACTTTTCAGAGCATGTAAGTTGTAGCATACTCTGTAAGGCACTGACTGACAATATAGCATTATGTAAAGAATATTTAGTATCTCAAGTGCACACTTTCAATGAAAGTGCATGCTAATTTAAGAGTGTATTTTTAGACTTTTCTGTGGTCAATTTGTTCTTATGTACAGGTTGTTGCCTGCCTTCCTGTTGTTCTAAGAGTGGGTTATAGGACTCAGAATTAGCATTTGTGGTCTCCTCTGGGAGTTATTACTACGTAAGACTAGGCTTTGTAACAAAAAATAGTTTTGGGATGGGTGAGCCAGTGACATGTAGGGTGACCTCCTACATGTTCACTCTGTGTGTCCTTATTACACAGATCCTCTAAAAGGAAATCTCCTACATGTGCCCCTCCATATGTCCTTATTACACAGATCCTCTAAAAGGAGATCTAGTTAGTCCTCAAGTCTTGGCTTTCTGCCTACTCTGCTGATCGGGAGCAGCAGTTGTGTTGGTGTTTCTCCATTAGGGAATGACAGTAGTCAGAGGCTTTTGGCAGCTAGATTAAATTGAAATTCCTTTTGCTGTTGCATGGAACGTGCATTCGCATTCGTTACAAGAACATTTCCCTTTAATAATATTAGAAGAGTATGTGTAAGCATGCAGTTTTCTTGTTTTGACTGCTTGATGTTGACACAGATTGTTGTGATGGGTGGAGGACAGAAATCAAGCCAGCCTGGTTGCCGAGATGAATTGCAAGGTGTAGTTCAAGCTCAGTGATACTTTTCCTGAGCTTTAAATACTTACACTCTAAGCACTGGTTGCTTAAGTGATTGCTTCAGCATATGACTAGTTCAAGGTAAACTTCCTGCTTCAACTGACTTTCAACACTCTGCTGAACTTAGGAGCTTATGGGGCAATAAGCTGTGCGCAGCCTAAACATTGCTCTGTATATTGACAGGTGCAGAATTTAGGAAGGAGACTTTAATTTTCAGTGACCTTAAATAATACAAGGGGACTTGATTTTCTTTTAGGAGCAACTAATCTCATTCTGCTATTGGATTCCTATTTAAATGTACCATTTAGGACAGCATTATAATATCCAGTTATGAGTTTACTTTGCTGTTTTTATCTCACAAGTTGTGCAGATGTTGAAAGACGTTTTAATAGTCTTAAATTATTTACATTAAATAAAGCAAAGCAGTATAGTAAATTGGCCTTTTTTCATCTTAACAGGTGGATTTTGAATATTAAAGGCTATTTTAATTATGGGATAACACTCAAGATGCTTGGAGCTGTAAGATACTGGGCATATTCCCAAGTTCCTGAACTTGAAACCTTTTATTAGTGAAAACATTTTTGTATGTCAATATTTTAAAGGAACAATAGCTACTGTACATGATTACTATGCTTTAAATTTCTTTAAAATGTCATAAATGCAATTGCCTTTATATTTTTCTTCTTTCTTCAGAGTAACTTTGTGACACTTTAAAACTCTTCCATTGGCAAGCGTTGGTGCAGTGGCAGTGGAAAAATAATGTCACTAGGAAGCTTGAGGCTTAAAATTTGGGCTCCATTAGGGGCTGATAGGGTGCAAGATGTGAGATCATGGCTTCTTTAGGCTGGAAGGAGAAAGTGCTGCCCTTCCCAGTGTTACTCTTGCAGCCTTTTGGGTTGCCAGAGAGGTTGTAGGATCTTATTTTGGCTATAATATCAAAACAAATCACCACAGTAAATTTTCAGGGTAGCAAATCTTGCTGTATTTCTGTGAAGCCTTTGCAGCCTTCTCTCAATGAGCAGATAACTCGAGTACCTGCTAGTGACCGACCGTTTGCTCACGTGCTGGTGCTGCTGTGCACATGAGCACTGAGGCACTGAAAGTGCCAGGAACTTCTGTGCTGGGGCAGAGCAAACCAGACACTCTTGAGGGTCTATCTTGTAGAGGCTGGTGATCATTTTGAGAGATGACAGATGATTTTATATCTGCTGCAGCTTGGACTGAGTGTTGGAGTAAGTGTATATGATGATGATGCTCTGGTGACCATCCCAGCGCATAAAACAGTACCTCCCCTGCCATGCACATCCATGTACACACCCCCACACACCTTCTCTTGCTTTCCAGTCCTCGGGAGGCTTTTGTTGTGATGAGGGCTGGTGGAGGTGGCCAGTGCTCTGGCCCAGATGGGTCTGGAGCCCCAGCCAAGGAGCTGCAAACTCCTTGCAGGCCCCTCTCATTAATTTAGTTAGAAATAGTCTGGCACTGGTAGTGTGATCAAGTGGATAATGGAAGCGTGTTCCCTTCTCAAGCAGTTTCTCAGGAGTTCCCTGCTCTCCAGGTGAGTCACTGGCAAGGGAATAGTGACTCCTGCGTGAGCATTAACAAAACAAGTCCTTAAGGGCTTTTAGGGCATTTTCCTAGAATGTGCTGTGAAATGTTACGGTTATGCTTTGATGTGACGTTTTGCCTTTTTCCTCCCATTTTCTGAAATATAACACCAGACTTAAAAATTCAGTGAAAAAAAATTTATATTTTCAATCTGTTGCAATGATCCTGCTCTCATAGCCCTTGCAAGCAGGTTACCTATGTCATACGAGCTGCTTCATGTGCTGTCAGTGAAGCTGTCACCTGCTGAGCTGTTTGGTGCCTTTGGTGGGCACCTCCTGAGGCCTTTTGCTGTTCAAGCCGCCTTTGCTCCCAACAGTTCTTTCCCCATCGTCCTCAGGAAGAAGTGTCCAGGTGTGAGGAGGCCTTGTCTTGTGTGGCCACCAACTGGGCCATGCTGATCATGCATGAACTTGCTTATGCTGCACTTTGCTCTTTCTCATAGCCTGCCTTTATCACTGCTGGCGTTCTTTTGCATGTTTTCCTCCTTTTGTTATTGTTGTTCCTTTCTCATTCATTTCTTTTTGAAAAATAACTTGAGCTCTTGCTTCAATTCTTCATCTTCTCCCATTTCTGGTTAGACGACTGTAGGAAAGGTTTCACGTGCAGTTGGAGCTGTGGCTGAAGTTCTTGTCAATCTGTATATGAATGATCACAGGCCCAAGCTTCCCCCCCTTGAACTGGTAAGGCTAAACCTTCAAAGAAACAATAACTTGACTTAAAAGAGCACTGTTTCCCAACTGTCATCCCAGCTCAAGGCCTGGGTTGTGAAACACTCTAAGCACGATGCAAGGTGTTAGGCCAACTCTTATTAAAAGATCAGGTGCAAATTGTCAAAACATGCTGATGTGTGGATATGTTGGAAACATTGCTCACCATGTCTTCTATTTATATACTTTTCTATTACTTGTTTGTGTGAGTTGGCTTTGGGATGTTTTTAGTAAATGTAATTACTGGTGTACTAAATAAAAGATAGTTATTAATCAGAGAGACTTCTAGAGAAAGTTTTATTTAGTACCTGTTTATGCATTTATTTTGACATTCAAATGAATCACTGTGCTTGACTTTGAACTCTGGCAATATTGTATGTTGAATTCAGAACCGGTCGTTGGACGGAGCGCGGCGTTCTTGCTCCATTTCCCACTCTCCTTCATCTTCTGCTCAGAGCTGCCAGGTACTGGGAAGCCGAGCGAGGAGCTGTGCTGCGCTGAGGAGCCTTGCTGGGCAGCCAGCACTAACCTCCAGTTGCTTCAGCTTTACTGTCTGACTCATTCCACTAATACCAGATCTTCCTGGTGCTTGTGCACTTGCATGGTGGCTTGTTTGGAAACGCTCACCCGGTTCGTTCTGAGGCGAGAACGTCGTGGCAGGATGGGTGCCCTCCTGGCAGCCTTGGACTGGTGGTCTCACTTTCAAGCACAAAAGTGTTACAGTGACAGCCATAACTCACGTTTAACAAATTGTTCCATGGCCTTTGCTTGCTGGCGTATTGGAGGTCTGTGTGTTGGTCATGGCACAGAGGAGGCCAAGGTTTGGGAGCGCCCATGTGGATAACAACAGGTGGCAGCAGCGGTAGCAAATGGACATGTGTCTGTAGTGACCTCTGAGCGGGAGGAATGCGGTGATGCCAAGTGATGTCATCAGGCCTGCCTCTAACAGGAAAAGTGAACTGCAGCAGTATCTAACCCAGTTATAACTTATTTTTCTGTGCTTCTTGGGTCGGTGTCCATGGAGCATGAGCTTCATGGGGAAATAAAGGGTGTTAATTGGTAGACCAGGTTGAAGAATGTTGTTCTTTTGTTCTACAAAATAACTTTGTATTGTTATGTATTATTAGCAATCATAGAATGCTTAAGGTTGGAAGGGACCTCAGAGGTAATATAGTCCAACCACCCTGCTCATAATAACTATTATATAGTATTTCAAAAGCTGTGTTCCTAAAAATATGCTGAATACTCATGATAGGAGCAAAACTGCTTTTTAAAACCACCCCAAGCGAGGCTTAGGTTGTCCTATCAGGAGTGTGACTGAGAGGGAAGCGCATGGACAGCCGCTCATAAGTGGTGCCTCAGGCACTAGACTCATCTCCCACTGCCAGTTTCAATTCCTGCCCCTTAAAGCACAAGGGTGCATTTCCTCAGGAGTGCTGGTGGACTGAGCTGGTTTGAGTGTGTGTGTTTAGCTCCACACATGTCTCTTGCCCAGGGCTGACAAGATCTGCCTGTGCCCTCTCAGGGAAACATTGGTCCAGCACCCACTGTGTGAGGGTCGCTGGAGCAGCCGGATCTGTGGTGACAAATGGGTGTTTTGGGCAGATGCTGCTCGCATACCTGCATAATCATAAAATGTCCATAAACCACAGGTGGAAACCTGCACCTTAAAACCCTCAGAGCATCTGAGTTATGAATTTTTGTGTAAACCTACAGAATTGCAGCAGTTGAGCGCTGAAGAGCTGGTTGCTGCTTGACTTTTGTGAAGTGGGGGGGTGCCTGGCAAGCAGCCAAAGCAGCTGTGTGCTTAATTTGTATCTGTGTATTGGGCAATAGTTTCATGTGCATCTCTATTTTTATCTTTTAAAAGGGGTCTCAGCGAAAAGAATTTCCTCAGTCTATAGGGGGGAGTGACATATGCTATTTCTGCAAGAAACGGGTCTACGTTATGGAGCGGCTGAGTGCAGAAGGCCACTTCTTTCACAGGGAGTGCTTTAAGTGTGAAATATGCTCCACAACACTCCGCCTAGGAATTTACGCCTTTGATGTTGAAGAAGGTAACGTGGGAACTCTTTGAGGGTATTTCAAAGCGTTGAATAGAGACACTTAATGAAAGTGGTGAGAAGGACAGGTCTTTCAAAAGAGCCCAGTTATGACTAACCTGAACTTTAAAGGAAGAAATCGGTGATGGAAAATGAATTGAGCAGCCAAAATATAATGTGACCGATCACAGTTCGGAGGGGATAGAGGAGGAAGGTGATTTTTCTTCACTACCAATATTAGTGAATTTATTCTCACCTATAAGCTACTTTTTTCAATGGTCAGTTTTAAGAATGAGTTGGGACAGTGGGAGATGCAGACAAATAGGGAGAGTATGGGTTGTTTGAGATAGTGTGACTCAGAAGTTGAAGACCATGTGGTTTTCTAAATAGATGTACAATTTCAGTGCGATTGCTGTAGGAAATTGAGGTTCAGATGGTGGTATCTTCATTCCACTTAGAGCCTGTGTTGTGGGGAGGAGGAGGCTTTGGTTTTTGTTACTGTTTTCTTAAAATTTTAGAGGGTTAACTGTTAAATTGTTCCAAAGTTCTCTTCAATTTCCAAATGCTTTGAACAGATCTGACTTGTTAACAGACTTTCTATGAAAAAATCAAAGATACAAGGCCAAATATGGCTCTTCTGCAATACCAAAAAAAAAAAAAAAAAACCTACTTTGAAGTTAAAAACTGATTATTTAATGACATTTTTTCATTTCAGATTTAAATCCTAGGTTGCTTTTTTACTTGGTATTTCTAGAGTCTTGTTTTTCTGATATTCATTATTTCAAACATTATTGTCTTATTGGCTTTTTTCTTATAGGCAAATTTTACTGTAAACCTCACTTTACGCACTGCAAAATCAGTAATAAACACAGAAAGAGAAGAGCTACATTACAGGTCCAGGGAAAGGTAAGTATTGATTATACATCTGATGCAGTAAATGCAGAGTAAGCTTCATATGGGTCATAGTACAGTGCTTCTGTGTGTGTGGATTTCTACAAAATGTGCAAAAGTAGCAAATTCAATACTAAAAAAACCCTTATTAACTTTGGGAATTTGTCATGTTTATAATCTGGTTTTCAATGAAAATGAGCTTTTTATCTGGAAGGTAAAGTGGAATTTGGCATCAGTCAGAAATGAAAATTAACCTGATTGGATATTTTTTGTGTATTTTGATTTAAGAAGCTGTCACAGAAAGTAGATTTCTAAGTTCTCTCTTCAGTATTCCCTGTCCCAGTCAGGTGCTGTCATCATGATTTTTTTCTTCCAAATTGCTTTAATTCTACTTGGTGATGTAGTGAAATAGGTGAATAATATAGATTTCTTATCTCCAGCATGTATACAGAAATATTTAGGCAGCAAAAAAACAGTGTTATAGTCTAATTATATGGGTGTCCGATTTAAGAACAAACTGCAATTTCAGCATTTTGTAATGCATGCTCTTTCTATCACATGAATGGTATCTGTAGAGAATTGTGCTCTGGAACTGTACTCTCCATACTGGAGTTGGGTCATGTATAACTTGAAAACAGCAAAAGAAAGAGCAATTTCCCTGTTCCCCTCCACCTGTCCTCTCCAAGTAGATTTATTCATTTATTTTTGTGTTTTCTATAAGGAGACAACAGAAGCGTGGAAGAAGGAGGCCCGTAAAGCCACCGAGGCGGCGCCGGGCGGCGCTTTAGCTCCCGCTAGCAGTCCGGAGGACAGGTCCCCAGGTATCCTGCCTTCCTTCTTTAGGGGGGCGCTCGCTTGGCCCCTTCGGGTGACACGGGATCTGCTTGACATTCCCAGACGCCTCTCTAACTGGATGCATGGTTTTCTGCACGCTACCAACCTCCATTTCAGGGACAATGCGTATAACTATACTTATTTGTATGAACTCTTGAGCCTCGGTGTGCCGTTCCTCTGCGCGCTTCTAGAGGTACTTGCTCATATGTACCGGGAAGCAGAGCTGTCACTTGAACATGTGCTTGAGTGGGTGAAAAAAATCTTTAGAATTTGAGTCCTTCTGTGTGCCTTGCTCGGTGGTGCCTTTCAGATTTTCAAAATTGAAAGCCTTTTTCTTAAGAGAGTGTTTTTGTTTTGTTTTGGATTTTTTTTTTTTGCAATTGATTGTGTAACTTAAAAGAACAAAGGATTCCTTCTGATATAAACTAGATGCTGTCAAAGTTTTCAATATAAAATGTACTGTATGTTAAAGCACATGAAGGGCAGTGTCCAGACACATTTCCGGAACTTGGAGACTGATGAAGGATGTTTTATATTTTTCACTTTTTTCTCTTTTTTTTTTTTTTTTTGTCCCAATTATGACCAGGCTATTTTGACAGGCTTACATTTTAACCCGCCCCTTTTTTTTTCTTTTTTTATGTAAGACCAGAAAGAATGTGTGTTCTTTCAGACATCTAGGAAATATACTTATGACTAATGACTGGGTTTTGAAACCTGAATATGGCGCATTCCTTTTTTCTCTTGCTTTCATCTTTGCTCTGGGTTATGAGGTATATATCTTGCATGAATATGCTAAAAAAGGAAAGAAAAAAGCCTTATTTGATATTGCTCCTAGTCATGCCTTGAAAATTTCCTACATGTAATGCCCTTTGTCAACAGCGGGTATAATTTGTACTACTAATTTATATGAAGTTTAAAAATAAATCTAAAGAGCAAAGTGGAGTGAAAGCTTGATTGAAATTTTAAGTCAAAGAAATTGGTAGCGTAACTAGGTATCACTTATTCCTCAAGTCAAAGCTTCCTCATTAAGGTGGCTGCTGAAAGGAGGATCAAGGTAGGGAGCACTATTCAGTTTCTTATCTAACTAAAATCACTGTTGTGTGTGCCGCTGTGTGGGCACTGATTCTTCTGCGTCAAGGATTCTTAAAATAGATATATATATATGTAGAACAAACAGCAAAAAATGTACAAATATATTCTAATGAGATTACTTCTTAGTTGGGTCTTTCATTCATTTCAATATGCAAAGCAGAAAGATTAACTTGAATTATCTTGAGCAGCTGCTAAGTAGTTTTCTTGTGGGTGTCTCTCATCAGGGTCTAGCTTAGAGGCAGGTAGAGGGCTGTTAAATGGCCAGGAGGCACCAGCACCCTCCCCAAGTGAGACTGCTTTCTGTCAGCCTCGGTAGCCAGCGAGGTAAGCGCTCCCCGACTCCAGAGCACCTACGTGTTTACATACAGAAGTTAGCCACTGAAAAGGTGAATACATAGATATGATATGTATGCCCTGAGAAGGAAAGCCTCTGTAGCACTTATTTCTAGCATGAAGACCATGAAGTAGCAGGAAATAATGTTGCATTCAGTTAATACCAAAGTTGAGAATTATCTACCGGTGATCTTAAATGACCGTGCCGCTGCAGGGAGTGCGGTGGTTTGACTTCAGCGTAGCATGGGGAAAGGCCATTTGAAGTGGCCTTATTTGTTAGGTATTAAAAAGATATGTTTTCTGTTTAAAAGAAATTACAGAAATAGGATTTTTCCTCCAGATAATTTGATTTCAATTATTTAAGCTATGAATATGAAGTTTTTCATATTTAGAGTGGTTGCATTTTTTGGCAGGGGGGAAATGTTAAGTACATTGCTAAGTATATTTACAGAACTTGAGCAAATGATTTAAGAAAATTGGGTATCATATAACATTTATTTGGGATAAATTGCTGTTAATGCTCAAATGTGTATTTAGCAAAACTTTGCTAAGTATTTTGACAGGGCACAATGGCCATAAGTAACATGGTAAGCATCTGTATATATGCAAAGGAATATATCTGTTTTTAGAGCAATTTTTAAAACTGTACTTTGGAACACTGTATACTTTTTATTTGCTTAATAACAGTAATTGTTTCACTCTGAAAAGGAAAAATCTGCATTGTAATTTACCATGTTAGTCTTGCAACATGTCAAATTTAAGTGGTGAAATCTGACAGTTTACAGTCCCAACTTTGCAGTTTGTCAGCAGCACAGTCTTGCAGAACATTCACTCCTGCTGGTCACTATCAGGAGTTATCTGGGTTTCAATAGAGTGAGCAAAAAGGTGAACTAACAGAAAGTGGTTAAGTAGCAAGAAACTTGGAAATCCGTGTTCATCTGTGAACCTAACTCAAATGAATGTTACTAGTAGAAAGTAAAAACTAAAGGTGGTGTTGGCTTTATATAGGTTTATATAAGAGAAGAAACACTTTCACAACAGCATTCAGGAAAAACACTTGCACAGCTAAAACGTTTTCCAAAGCTTAATTGTGCTACTTATTCTCCTGGGGTTTTACAAGTGCTTTTGCTTGGAAGGTTGTTCACCGATATCAATGTAATTGGTAGATTTTTATGTTTGTGTTTAAATCTCATCATCTTACACCTCTGTTAGTAAGAAGAATACCTATTTGTCTGTGATTTACTGGCAAGGGTGGTTTCATTTTGGCCAATTCTTCTTTCTATATCCAAGCTAAGCTCTGTCTTTCTCTTCTGCCCTCTCCTGTGTCGCCTTCCCGCATTGCCCTTAGTCCGTGTGGCCGTCCCGGCGCTGCGCCTGCTCACTGGCTGACACCTTCTCCACTCAGGTGACTCCTCTGCTTGCCACTGCCCCGCTCTTATGACTAACACTTGTTTGACAGCGTTTAATTGCAGGTTTTTAAGACTGTTTTGGAGCAAACTGTGTGTGTCTGGTATATTAATGGATGAGACTTGAGCATGATCGCTTAACCTGTGATGCGCTGAGCTAAGGACATAGCAAAGCTGTTGTCTTATCTCTCTGTAGACATGAGTTTCCTTTCTTCTGTGTCTGTGCATATGCTCCCTCGTGCCTTTGAGGTAACTTAGGGTATTGATTCTCACCAGAAATGCCTTATTTCCTTTCAAGTTTTGAAGGAAGGATCTGCGATAGGGTCAGGGCAAGCACTGGCTGCGTCTCCTGGTTGGCATGAGCACGGACTTCTGCTGAGCTCAAATAGTGGATGAGCTCAGCAGTGCTTGAGGAGCGTGGTGCTTCCTGAGCACTCCTGGCTCCCATAATGAAAAAGCATGATGCAAAGCTGTACTTCTCAAAAAAGCAGCCAGGGCAATGCAAATACCAGTCTTCCACCCCAAGTAATGTATTAGGCTTAACAGAAATAAATGTGCATGCTATTTTTAGTTCCTTAATATTAAAATGCCAAGTTTATATAACCAGAGTGTTTGAGTTTTTGAAGTGTTTTGTTAACTAATATTAGCTCTAACTAGGCCCCATTTGGCACTTTGATTAATGATTTTGTCTTGCTGCATGAGACGTTGCCAATACTCTCCATGAAAGATTTGAGAGATTATTTTATGTATGTTTTTATATATAAATTCCAGTGATGTGTAATCACATGCTGACAATCTAAAAGGGGAAATGAACCCAAACAAGAATGAAGGGCTCAGTTGGACTGCTAAACGTCAGGTGGTTTGGGCAGCGATGGTCATGGCACAGCTGTCCCTGCAGAGGGTCCTTTCTGGAGGAAAGGGCCTTTGGGAACAGCCCTGAGCCTCGATTCCTGGGAGGTGACCAGCGTCTGCTCCTGCTCTGCCCACTGCACACCCCTGAGTCAGCCCTTTTGCTGGCCTGCATGTCCGTGCGACCAAAGCAAGAGTATTTATTTGTGTGGGTGAAATGGCTTTTTAAGTCTCCTTGCCATCCGTGCCCATGGGCAGGAACCTTTAAGCAAGCTTTGCTCCCCACACTAATGGCTAAGACACGACTTTCTCTATGTTTTGGGGCTGGGGGATTTTGATACAATGCTCAGCATGCTTTGAGATGAAGGCTGTGACATAAAGGTCTGCCATTTCAATCCCTTTCCATTGCTGTGTTTTGTTTTTTTGTTTTCTTCCTCTGTTGCAGAGTCTTCCTTGCTCTTCCTCACGGGAGAGGATTCTGTCTTCCTCCTCCTAAAACTTCTGTTTTCATCCTACTTTATACTCTTAATTGAATACTTCTAAATAGTTTTTAATTCTGTATTTAAATTTTCACATGGAAATTCTGTATTTTGCACACAGTGAAAATTGTTTTAGCTTTATTTATGGTATTTGCTGTAAACAAAAATAAATGTAGTTCTTCATAAGTCTCCTTGTTTCATCTCTTCCTTTTAAAATATATACATCCTGAAGACAGAAACTTGATAGCAGTCACTTCGCACTCATTTCACAAATTCCTCTCCTGGTGGATGCTGTCATGGTGTCTTTGGGGCTAACCCAGAGGGCCGGTGAGCTTCCCTGCGGTGTTCCTCTCGTGTGTTTGGAAAAGGCTTTTGCGCCCTTACCCCTTGGATACTGCCTGAGTTATCTCATCCGACTGGGATCAGGAGGTGTCTGGTGCTGGGATTTATTCTTCCTGGGAGAAATAAATTGGTGTTGATGAGCTCAGCAGTTGCTTGCATTGAATACGCAAGGGGTACTTTAACTTCTGTTACCTTTCCTTTTGTTTTTATTTTACATACTAACAAATGTCATAATAGTCATGCAATGTTAAATATGGTTGAGGTTTTACACTATGGTCAGAAAAAGCAGGTGGTGTTTGTGGGCAAACCTTTCTCACTGCTGCTGCCTCCGGAGTGCTGTCTGCAAGCTCCAGATATCCTTGGACGCCTGGATAATGTTGACTTGTTATAAGATGATGGTGGGTGCTGTTTGCTTGTTTTGCTTTCCCGTGCTCTGGCATGTTTTTGTTTTCGTTATTGTTTTTAAAGCTGGTGTTGTGGTTCTTTTTAAATAGCAGGTTCTCCAAAGCAGCTTTCCTAATGCTTCCTCCTCTTTATTGTCTTTTTCTCACTCTGTAGTTCTTAAGCTATAATGTCTTCCTTTGTGATTCATGCTAAAAAAACAAATCCTTGTCAGAATAGACCCCATTAAATAATGAAAATATTGTAAGTGCTGTTGATCTTTTAGTTAATTCAAACTGAGCCTCCCTAGAGTTGCTTGAATGATAGAAAAATTTTTTCAAGTATTGTTAGAGACAAAGTTGCTAAAGAACAGCAAATTTTAATCTCTATGAACTTTTCAATCCTTCCTGCCAAAAATAAGCAACCGTCCCTCGTAGAAAGCTTGCCATCCCAGGAGGAGATTACTTGCATAATGAAAACAGAGCAGCAAATAACGTTTAAAATGCTACTTGGCAGGTCGTATATTATGGTGGACAAAGCCATGTGGATAAAACTAAATTTATTCTCTGCCCTACTTAGAGCTTTAGAGCATGCTGATTTTTGCTCTCCTTACTTGACTGTTTCAGACAGGCCATGGCATGCAAACATCAGAAGAGGTATTTGTGTCCGCACAAGGTGA